ACTATCATATCTGTAAAAATTCCTAACAAACAGGAACACTTGTTAGCCTACAATTTACATGTAACCAATAAATGGCAAGGAAGCTAGGAGTCCTGTTTCAGCCAAAATAAACAAGCATCTGAGGTCTTTTACTTTAAGCATCTTTGAAATTATGTTTGAATCCAGTTGTCACATTTACTATGATGATGCATAATTAACCTGTCATTTTTGATGCCTCAATTTAAGACATATGTTAGTGTGTATAATTGTTTTCATGCGCTGTCTATCTCTCTCACTCAGAGGAATTCTCTGTACTCAACATTGTGGCAGTGGGTGCAGTGATAACCATGCAGGCAGCACTAGAGCAGGGCTTTACAAGAGAGGGAACAGTGGGGATATACAGACTGGAGTCAGAGGCTCATCCATTAACTTGACAGGGTGGAGAAGCTGCCAAGAGTATGAGCGCATGCTTTGGAGCATTCTCTTCGGTGGGCGTGAGTCTCGCTGCACCCATACTGCCTCGGTTCCTCTGAGCACCACCGGAGTGTCTGGCTCTGGCAGAACAGCCACCTTATGTCCATTTCCCCCCATCAGTGTCTGGAACTACAGGGAGGCTCTGTTTGGTCCGGCTGTGATCAGCTTGGCCCAAAACCCGAGAGAGGACAGAGGGGGCGACATTACAACCCAGCGCTCCCATCAGACTGTCTGCCTCACTGTTCCCTGAGGAAATCAGTTTAACAGTCCCCAGCTCTTGGCAAGCAGAGGGGGGGTGGAGGAACAGGGAAGAGGTGTGTGTGTGTGTGTGTGCGAGAGAGAGAGAGAGAGAGGGAGAAGGGGGAGATGTTACTGCCTCTCTGGGCGACAGGGAAATCTAATAAAATTGAACTAATGGGGGTGTGGAGTTTTAGGGGACAGAGTGGGTTTTGCAGGGAGGCAGGCACTGGTGGGTAGTGGTGGTGGTGATGGAGACGAGGAGGAGGGAATTAGATCCTCTGAGTGCTTGGCAAAGCAACAGAGCCAAACTGCTGGCTTCAGCTGCAGCTGGTGAACCCATGTCAGGTTCAGAGCTTGAGTTAGGGGCCCTAGGCCTACAAAATATGCTGTCAGGAAAGTTACAGCTATGATATATTATGCAATTAGAAATACTGTGCACATACATCACATCGGTGAACATGCTGCTATGTTAAAATAGGGACAAACAAAAGGCTGACAGAGAGAAACAGATTCTTTATATTTCTCTTAAGACTCTTTAATGTAAAGCGGGAGAGCTCCATTTCACACTGTGATCTTTTTGCACTTAAACTATGACTCCATAGACTGGTTAAATCTTTTGAAGCTACTGTAAGGCGCCAGAGGGTCACAGGTCCCCTGATAGTCCACTGTTCTACTTTTAAGGAGAATAAAAGTGCTCACCCTGACCTCACTGAGTTTGATTTACCCATTCTGAGGCAGGCATGGTCTCTTCTCCTTGTACCTGCTTCATGCTCTTGCTTTCTCCTCCCAGAGTTAATAGATATGAAGTCATCTGGTGAGGAGAAACTCGAGTGTGTTCTTAGGATGTGCCCAGAGCACTCACAGGGACATCACTCAGAGCACCCTGTGTCAGAGAGGAGGCAGCCATTAATAAATATCATTAATGGGTGATCACCTGGTATCCCTGAAACCACATAAATGAGAAAGGCCTAAAAAAAGGAGTGGGAGAAGAGAGGTCAGGGGGCAAAGGTCTGAGAGGAAATAGCTTCAGGGCAAACGATAGCTGAATCATGGCTGGTGTTTTAACAATGGAAAAATCAATATGCTTACTACTTTCAGTACACTGTCAGAATGCATGAAATGTGGTGTCAAATGCATGTGATTGCAGATATATAGGCTGCTAATTTATTACATTTATCCTGGATGAAGCTGACCATGTCTTTATGGTGTCACAGACTTCTCACCTCTTTGTTGTGACACTGCTGTGTTTTTCCAGTTTTCAACAGCACGGCCAGCAGTGGTAGGACGGAGTTTGTGCCACCACAGGCTGATACTTGCACTGATTTAATTACTGTTTTCCGCAGCATCTATGTTGCTGCAGGAGAAATGTATATGTATGCGTGTGTTATTAGAGTAAAATGCACGTGGTGGTTAAGTGCTTGTGCTTATCACAGTCTGGGGGAAATACAACCATGTATTAAAGAGTCATTAGGGAGCTGATGAAGGTGTTTGAGAATCACAGCCTGTTCATCATCACTCTGCTAACGTCCCTTAGTTGCATCATTGTGGTTCTGGATACAAAACTTAAGTTTTGGCCGAGCACAGTTTAATGGAGCTGTGTGTCAATTCCAGATGGAGCAGTAGCACTTGCGCACATAGCTTTAGGAATAAGCTTGTATCCTGGTAAGGGTTTTCTCTTTTGGCACAATATGGCTTTTCTTCTTTCTTAAAACTTCCATTTGTATGTGTTACTATAGTACCTGCCTCTTATTTAAGTAGTCTATTAGAAGTTTCTTTATCTCTAGGATCTGCTTGTTAAGGTTTTGCTGTCTTGGTTCCACAATGTAAATATCTACCGTACATGTGCTGCATCGGATTTTGTTAACTGTGTTGGTTATGTCAGTCCTCTAATATGCATGGTCCTTTTCTTTTGTGTTTTTTTTTCTGTCCTGTTTATCGCCACTAAGGTTTGTGCAGTGGCCCCTTAGCTCTTTGACCTGCCTCTGTACTTTGACACTCTCGGGTCTCTTCGGATGCAGGCTAATTCAATTAATAAACCGATAGTACTGCTCTGCCAGCTGGACAGCTCTCAGAGACACTGATAAATGAGCACTTGCTGTCTTGGGCTGTGGGGAGGAGACACTAGAAGCCATCTAATCTCCCCTCACCCCTGCTTTCTCTCTCTTTCACTGCCTCCCTTCTCCTCCCTCTCTGTCCTTCTCCCTTGGCGCCTGGCTGGCAGAAATTCAGGCAGCTCTAGTGGCCCCAGATGAGCCTCTTACCCCCAGACAGACAACTGAACTAAGTCCACAAAAACTGTTCATTCAGGTGATTGCCTTCTCTGTGAATGAGTGGCTGGAGCTTGCCAATCCCTAATTGGCTTTCTCTTTCATGAGAAGGCAGGGCCTCACCTCTCTGGTGCTGACTGACAAGCTGAAGGCAAAGTGTCAGACTCAGAATTCATCCTGTGGTATATAGAAGATGTCCTTGTCAACACTGGTGATGGTGATTGGTATCTGTAAGCTCATTTAAATCGATACTCTGTTTTAGTTGCATGTCAGCTAGATATTTGTTTCAGAATTTTTATACCATGTCCAGGTAGATATCCAGCACAGAGATTTATAGCATAACATAGCATAGCATATTCTGAGACCTCTCTCTGCTGCTTGTTACCCTTAGTAAGTCTCAGTCTGACTGTGATTTTGTGGACAGCTGCAGGCCTGAGGCCACCCGCTGTCTGTTAGTGTGGTATTTTGTGGTATTTTAACTGTGGTATTTTAACCCCTGTCTTACTGGTCACAAAGGGGAAAGGCTGTTGCTCTTGAGAGTTGTGCTGTTGAGGCTGTATTGAATGAGTTTGAGCAGATGGTGATAATCATTAGGAGAGCAAATTTAAAATAATATTCATCATGGGCGACAACAGAAAAAATATGTAGCTGCAGAAATGTAGCGCTGTTTCACTATGTCAAGCATCCCTTGGTATGACAAGCAGAAACTATGCTCAGCCAAAACAGGCTTGGCAGGGTCATAATTTCACTGTACTGGTGATGGGCCATTGTTAAGTCAAGACAGCTAGACTTCTAGTAAATCTTTATCCAAATACATATGCTCTTTTTTTAATGGTCACACTTCTAAAATTATTATTTGACTGTGTCTCCTCCATCCTGGTAAAAAGCTTTCCACTCAAGGACAGTGTGAGAGAGGAGTGGAGAGCTGATGTTGTGTTCTGGTCCTGTCGTACCATTGTGATCCAGACCAGCTGGACGCCATTCCCTATGGGAATCATGAATGTGAATGTTGTTAAAAGATATGGAGCCCTGGACACAGAATGGACTTACTGAGAGCAGCTGGGAGAAGGGGGAAGGGAACTCAGCGAGGAAAGAGAGCACTGGGAAAGAGAATAGAAAACTTTGTGGAATTCATAACACTGACCTTGAAATGAATGCCTTTGTTTTCAGTTTTGCTTTTTGTTGAAAGTGACTAGAATTATAAACAGGATCTAAGGTTATATTTTAGTATTTTCTTTCTTAAGCATGTATTCACATCAGCAATGCACTTTTGGTAAAAAAAAACAAACAAACTATGTTGATCAAAGTTTAACAGTTTCAACACTCTCTTATTCTGTTATTTTAAAAGTGGTCAAAATGTAAATAAGTCATAAAACTGCAGACTTTTATTTAGTCTAAGTTTGTGTACAGCAGATGAAGCCTGAAGACATACTTTGGCACTTGTATGTTTGGGTTATGATTTTTTTTTCTGGTTTTGCTGTTGTCTTTATGTGATGCCCAGAAAAACAGACTCTTGAGGAGAGGTGCATTCAGTAAACACAAGGAACACAAGCGCACCTTCAGCGAGCCGCTGTCTGGTCTCGCTCCCAGACTACATGTGCTCAGTCTGGACAAAGTAGACCACACAGTTAAAGCAAAAAAAAAAAAAATCCTCCTGCTGGGTCAACAGTGAGAGAGCAGTCTGAGGCTCACACCTTACCATCGAGCAGACATAAACACACACACACACATATATGCATACTCAACAGAGGGAGAAGCTATTAGGAATATGAAGAGGAGGGACTGGTGGGATGGCAATTATGGAAGGTAAAGAGGGACAATGACAGGACTGAAGGAGAGGCAGAGGACAGTGTAAGTGGCTTTGATTTGCTCTCCAGACGTATGGATTTATGGAGCCATTCATCATCTCATAGTCGGCTCATAAACCTGCTCTATAACTGTTGATAATCGGCACTGACAGACGAGAACATGCACAAACTTGAAATTTCTCTGAGAATATTATATTAAACATCATATTTGGTGTCTGTTTTGTCTCCTCAGAGACTGAAGGCCGCACTTTCACACCACCCGGGTGCCATTGCCAATGGGAACATGAACTCCATGGGTCACATGATGGAGATGATGTCATCTCGGCAGGAGCAAACCGCCCACCATCACATGCACTCCCACCCGCACCAGCACCTGCAAGCCCCTCCTCACGCGTACCAGCACCATGGCCATCACCATCACAGCCAGGGTGGGCACCACCACCCGCAGGGACACAACCCCCATCACAACTCCCACAATCCCCACCTCCATCCCGGGCATCCACACCAGACCTCGCCTCACCCTCCAATGCACTCTGCTTCACAGGTAAGCAAAGCACATTCCTGGGGGAGCAGAGGCTTTTAGGGAGCCCAAAGGCCACAAGTTCAATAACGCATTAACTACACTGCACATTAAAACCTCTAATATAGCTAGAAGACATTGCGTATGTACCATGGCTAAAGTAAGGTTGTGCTTTAGTAGCCCTTTGAGCATTTTAAAAGTCAGCTATTAGTATAGAAGTATAGCTGTAATGATGTTTCAAATTCACAGTAAGTCAGTGGACAAACAGTTTTTCCCCTGGTGCAGCCATAATGTCAAGTAGTTTCCTGGCAACCATCTCAAAGGTAATTTTTTTCTATGAGGTTGGTCAGCTACAGGTCAGTGTCGGATGCCTGCTATGAAGGAAAAGGGTCATGATGAGGTTATAAAGTGGCTATTATAAAAGATGCTCAGGACTGTCTTTGGGAAACTATGCTCCACACCCTCCTGTGCTGCTGAGCTGCCATTATGTAACCACAACATGCTCCTTGTGCAAAAGATGTTTTATAAATGCTGGTCCTCTTGGTGAACAAATAGCCTTGGCTAATTGTCTTAGAGAATCTTAGTTGTAAATATATGTGGTTGAATTTCAATTGAAAGTTTGAAGGTAGTGCTCACAGCATTAAAAACGAGATGATGTGAGACACTTTGCCCTTGCATTGTCTAATGCTCTCTGCAATGCCAAGCATTTTGGATGAAGGACAGTTCGGCATCAAGAAATGCAATTCACTGTATGTTCCAAATGCACCATTAAAGCATTAAAACAACACTCTCTGTATGCACAACGGTCGTTAAAGCGACTTGTATTTTCCATGGTTCTCATAAAAATGGTAATGAACTGAAGACTGAAAACGATTGACCTTGCCAAGAATATGTCAAGATTTGTCAGCGCATGTACGGCTTTAGAGACAGGCCTTTTGACTGTGTCTGGCAGGGTTAGTCTCAGTGGAAGTGGGCGTTGGAAAACTGCCTCCTCACACCTCTTTAACAGGGTGGGCAGGCTGGTGAATCAGCCCAGTCATTCACTCAGTCACTCCCGACACCCACGGCCCGGCTCACAAGGCGCGTGGCACAACCAGATGTTGTTTTTGGGGAATTTAGAGGTAAGGTATAGGTTGATTGTTTAGAAGCAAGAGGCTCTGAGAACAGCAGAGCGGCGACAGCACACAGGTGACTGGCTGTCTTTCAGGTGTGTCAGAATTGTTATGTCTGATTGAATGATAGCAGATAGACTCATCAAGGAACTCAGTGATGCTGATACTTTTTCCCCCATGTTTCAGATGTCACCCGCAACTCAGCAGATGCAGCCCACGCAGACGCTGCAGTCCCCGCCCCCAAACGGCGGTCGGCGCAGGCGAGTAGTAGACGAGGATCCGGATGAACGCCGGCGGAAGTTTCTGGAGCGGAACAGAGCAGCAGCAACAAGATGCAGACAGAAGAGAAAAGTGTGGGTGATGTCGTTAGAGAAGAAAGCTGAAGAGCTCACTCAGACCAACATGCAGCTTCAGGTACACACTAATAACGCTCTGAGTCTGTGAATCAGTGCACAGTACCCAGTGCCACTCCAAACAGTCAGCATGTATTTGTGTCTCTGTTCCTCATTAAGATCTTCAAGATATTTTGCACCAGAGAAAATGGCAATAAGTTTGAGTATGAATACGATTTCATTACTGGCAAGACCAGTTGGATGTTGTCAGTGTTACATTTCCATTAAACTGGAGGACTCACAAGAAACAGCTTTAAAACAAATGGTAAAAATAAAAGCAGAAGAGTTTGAGATATATCTGTCAATAAAGCTCCAAAACCACAATCCTATAATTCCCATAATGCAACTGAATGTTCCTAATTTGTAACTTTGTAATAACCCTGATGAACATATAAATATAAGGCAGCTATAAAGGGACAGTCATCAAGTTTTCAGCGATAATAGTAATCAGAGATAATAGCTTGTTTTAATAGTGGGCTCCACGATTATAGTTTTGTATTTTTCCTGCATTTCAGAATGAAGTGACCATGCTAAAGAATGAGGTGACCCAACTCAAGCAGCTTCTCCTCACACACAAGGACTGTCCCATCACCACTATGCAGAAAGAGTCCCAAGGTTACCTCAGTGAGTAGCTCCGACCATAAACACAGACATACACACACTTGGGAATTTGACCACAAACACATCTTCATCTGTGATGAAGCACCTCTGTGGAAATTCTCTATAACCGTCTTGCCAGAGGAACGGTATAAATTCTACACAGCGAACTGTGACGGACACACAGTGACTGCCAAGTTGGTATCCAGCTCCCATGCTCGCTACGAGACTCTTCCTTTGACATATGGGTGTCGTACACTCTGGTAGCTGGCTGGGGCTGGGAGTTGGTAGTCTGCATCCCATATAAGACCTATTTTTCCATCTGACAGCACCTCAGCACATAGATGTTGGAAAGACTTTCCAGGCTGCTCACTGGCAGTAAGACTCTCACTGATGCCTCAGGATGTCACCGATTGTTGGACTGTGCCCAGGCTCAGCATGACGTCAGAGCCCCACCCTTTGATACAGATACGAGTGACATTTTCATGTAATTAGGACTAGTCACCTTCCTGTGTGGTTTTAGCACAGGAAAATAAGGCTCACGTCCCCCTTGGCTGAATGGTTCTTTTATGCAGGAGAGAGCCAACTCCCAGACTGAGCTGGGAGAGACTTTCATCGATGAGTCTAACTTTTGTACATATGTCACATTCACTGTGTCCAGAATTCATCAGGCATGTTTATGGAGTTTAGTGATTCACTTTTCCATTTTTGTGTTATCCATTCATGACCTAACTTGGGATGACAAATGAGAAGCTAGATGTGAATTTATAATGTAATTTGTTTGAAATTCATCTCTTTCTGTGAATAAAACCTTCTGTGTACAATTACAAGATTTGGTCTGTGTTTATTTTGTTATTTTTACTATCATGTTATATTTTGGAGTCCTGTGAACAGTTTGAAGGCATTTGCACTTGTGCAAACACATATGTTGTCCAACCTCAGTGATGTTTCTTGTGTGTCTTCAGGTCCAGAGAGCAGTCCTGCGGGCAGTCCAGCGCCAGCGTGCTCCCAGCAGCAGGTCATTCAGCACAACACCATCACCACCTCCACCACGACTGTAGGGGGTAACAGTGTGCACGGGCAAGCCAACCACCACACAGACATTAACTCCATTCACTAGGAACAAGAGAGACTATAACACCTGGCTGTAACCCTGAACACCCTGCCTTCACCCATGCTTTCTGAGGGTCGCCAGCTGCACATGCTGCCCCCCCCCTCTCCTACCATCAAGAAAAACCTCAAAGGCCTGTGAGGCTGTTCTTTATACAGTAGCTACAGTATGTATTTTTATAGACCAATCCTATTAATGCATAAATGTTATATGGTTTGTTGCCTCTTCTTTAATCTGCTTTTTGTGCTTTTAGCAGAAAGGGAGTTTTGCTAACTACATGCAGCATTCAAGTGATTTTTCTTTCTGTGGTGTGATGGTACAAAATGGACCACGGTGGTCATGGAACCAGAGAAAGGAGACATAACCCTCAGACTGTCATCACTATAAGCAGACCTTACATCTCTGTATGCCTAATGGACTGATGATCAATCATATTGTTGTCTACATGTCACATGTGGACAGTATGTTGAGTGTATGGGCATCATACAGAGTCTTCTGAATAAGTGAGTGTGACATTGCTGCCTTTAAGGTGTTTTCTGAAACCAAGTCAAAATGTCGCCATGATGTCTCGAAGACAGGGATATGCAAGACGATGTCATGAATTTTTTTTTTTTTTTTTATCCTTTCCTAGAAATGTCTATGACTGTTAACAAATTTCCCTGTCAGTGGTGTTCTCAAAGAGTGTTATAAAACACGGCACGACAGTGAAAGTACTGTCTGATCAAATGGAAGCAATACATCTCAGTATTGATCATCTTCTCTACTGGATGTCCACATTTATGATCAGCATGGCCAAGCCACTCTGGTCCCAAGGATGTGCGATGCTGTTACAGCTACATAAGTGTACACTGTGATACCAGTGAGGCAGCTCAGGAGTTGAAACAAATTTCTCCGTTCTCCTGGACCAACTGAAGCTTTAATTATTGAGGCCTCTCTTTGTGTGTGTTTGTGCTTCTGGATCCACATTTTGGATTCCAGTTCCAAATGACTCTAACATTTGATTACATGCATATGTCTGCAGAATGTTGAGTGTGCATGTGAA